TATTCAATAGCCTACGTCAGTTACGATCGAGAGTGAATACTAAAATTATGATTTTTGCATTTTTTCCGAATTTCGTTTGTCCAGAACTTTTTTTCCTAAAAACTTTTCCAGGACCATTAAGAACAAAACAAAAAAAAGAATTACACATATCGTCTGTAACTTTCTTATTTAGAGGAATTTTTAAAATCTGAAATCACAAGTTTTTTCGGTAAATTTCACTGTATATTTAGATTTTCATTGCGACGTTTCGGTTGCGAGAAACCATCATCAACTTTCTTTTGTCTTATGGGCGTCTTAATGAATTTTAAGCTAAGCAAATAGAACATTTTTTGGCTTTTTAAGTGGGAAAAAAAATTCAAAAATAACCTCAAAAATCAATATTTTAATATTTTTGATAAATCTGGCAACACCGCACAATTTTTCGAAACTAATAAGAATAGTCTCAAATTTCTGTAAAAGCTTATCATTAATATCTCTTTCCTATCTCTTATAGTTTCCAAGATGGTCCACATGGTATATCGTTTTACAAATTTTCATGAAATTCTTAGCTTTTGCTCGGCCATGTCCAATTTAAAAAAGTTAAAGCAGACCTAACTTCAAGAATACAATTCCAACCGCAGGACTTCCATTTTGGAGGCATCAAAATCGCATTTTTTTGTCGATTTCGTTTTTATTACGCCCACCGAGCTAACAAAAGATCCAGTAATCAGGAATTCGAGCGGGCATAATGGACTTCATTTGCCTGGAATAGAATCACGTAGCCGAAGCATGAAAAAAGTGACACCCCCTTTTCGCCCGACAAGTGGAACGTCAACCTTCCTCGGTCCCCTGAAAGGAATATTCCCGAAAAAGGTTAAGATTTACATTTCGGATATCTACCTGTCCGTCCTGTCTGAGCGGGGTGACCTTTGGAAATACATATTATAGAACCAACAAAGCGTCTGAGTTAGCAGGTACATTCTTGTGTGGGGACTTTCGTCTATCTGGTTTAGAATTTAGAAATATAGACAAGTGCATCGTTTAGATTGTTTAGAACTTACAAAAAGGTGGTCGTATTCGGTGCAAGGAAACGATGAAATGCCAAAGTACATAATTTTATAATTTTAAATCTAAATTTTTAAATCTCGTTATTCATAAATGATATTGGAAAGTAACATTTTTGCATAAAGCCAATGGTGACAAATACTTAAAAGGGATTATTAAAAAGTCACTTGATATGCAATTTCAATAGGAATTTCAGAAATTAATTTAAATTAAAATTATAGGAATAAAGAAAAACCAATATAATCCTCACCTATATTTTCATTTTCACATGGTCAGTTTTTTAACTTTATAAAAAGTTTTTCTTTTAACTTTATGAAAAGGGGGTTCAAAACAAATAGACTAAAACACTAAAATAAGAAGACATAATTTATTAAAATGTCACTTACAAAACGTACCAAGGTACTACTCGTATTTTATTATTTTTTCATTTTGTAAGTTGTCATAGCATGTTAGGTTAGTTAGATATACCTTAACTTTCCGTCGAAATTATGGATAATGACTCATTGCTAGCTCATGAAGTGTGCGGAGATCGAAAATCCATAGGCGTATCAGTTTAGAAGGCAACAAGATATAGAAAATATGCAAAAAGGTAAAAAACATAACATCTATTATTTTTAGAGATTTTATCAAGAAAACTTCAAAAATATTTTAGCAACATTTAGTTTTTAAATTTTAAGCGTTTTCTACAAAATAATGCCATCGCATAGGTTAGGGTGTTTATGACCAAGAAACCGTTTGCTACAACCGGCATTTTGATCCATTTTAATTACTACGTTTCAAAATTTCCCGATTGTTTATTATTCAAATTTTCCGAATATTATCTTGCTTACTGTTTATACTATTTTTATGTGAATCATTTCTTTTGTTTGTCAGTAATTTTGGTTTCATCAAACTTAAAATTAAACTCAACAAAAAAATTTCCAAGTGATTTTTGGAAGACTGTAACTTCATGATTATTAGTCATATTGAGAAAAAAAATCATTTTAAGATTCTAGTTTTCAAATCTTCAGATGAAAATTTTTTTCGAGTATCACAAAAGAAATAATGCAAGGCAAAAATTTTACAATTTTTCTTTTTCAAAAATTTATTGCTCCTTAAATGTCAATTACTGATGATTAAGATGGAAAAAAAACGTGTTATTTTTCTTACAATTTCGCGTTAAATACTCATCAAATGTCGAAGAACTAATTTTCTGAGCCATGGGTGTTTTGAAAAAAAAAAAAAATTGTAAAATTTTTGCCTTGCATTATTTCTTTTGATTGCGACAAGTGTAATGCTCAAAACAAATTTTCATCTCAATATATCAAAACTAGGATTTCCAAGCTTTAAGATGTTTTTTTTCTCGACGACTATTATTCATGAAGCAGCCTTTCAAAAATCACCAAAGAAATTTGAAAATTGTAGATATATAAATATTTAATATTCTGCCTGTTCTGCAAGAGCCGTTTTATTGTGCTGACAATTTTTTATATGCTCAGAAATCCGTTTTTTTAAATATTTACTAGTTTGGTCAATATAAGTATATCCCATTACAATGTTATGTTTTGTATGTTTGTGGGCAAAAGTATGTAGATTTAGACTATGTGTAGCAATCACAAGAGCAAGTTGAAAATCAAATGAGGAAAATATTTGGACGCCGGAAATAGATAAGAAATATAAAAACTGCTAAATATGATACTAATGGGAAATATATTCATATAAAATTATTGGTTAATAAATGTATCAAAGATCATTAATTTAAAAATTGGAAATTCCAGCAATAGCCTTTGATATTATTGAGGAACGAAAGACAAGAAGCAAGAAGCGTTTTTTTACTCTCCGCTCGACACAAAACCAAACTGCAGGCAATTTGAGGTATATGTAGCAGGTACAAATTCTTATATAAGTGTTATTTATATAACTCCTACAATTGTAAACAAGGGAAATTTCTTTGTCCCTAAGGAGCTAAAAAGCAAAAAAAATTGTAGCCCCAGTTTATCATTTCTAACCTACTTTTTATAAACTGACGTTAACGTGTATTTAAGATGAAAATATGAAAAATCCTCGGAAAGCCTAAATAATTCCTAAATTAAAAATAGTTATATTTAGATTGGTAATAAAATATATTTATAATTGTTGGTAATGAAATATATTACCTATCTGAAAAGTAAAAAATACCAAATAATAACAGTTTTTCAGATTGGATATAATTTGACGATTTTTTTATTAAAAACACTTATATTGAGAAATGAATAAATTAAAAAAATAAATATCAGATCGAGGAGGAAAGGTCAAGATTAATTTAGTGTACAAGCTTTGAGTAATACTGAGTAATATTTGAGTACCTGAAAATAAATTTAGGTATTAAAACAATTATTTGTCAGGTGTACGACATGCGCATGCGTCAAAACCACGCCCTTTCACTCCGATCCCTCTCTTAATTTGAGTAAATAAGAATGAAAGTGAGTATTTTAGTGAACTCATGATCATGAGAACAATATGAGAATTTTTAAGTTTCGAAAAGGAAAATAGTTATTTCACCTAAAACAGTGTCGCTAAGAACACTGAAACACTCGTTTTTTTTTCAATTTTTATTTGTTGGTGCTGAATTTGTGGAGTTGCTAAAAAATCTTACTGTGATTTCAATATTCTTCTGTAGTTATCAGTTCCCAAGTTGTTACAGAGAGTCGAGTTTAGGAGTATTCTAATACCATTAAATTTTACCTAAATGTTTCGTAGAAGTACATTCGGAAAGCCATACGTATATTTCATTAGAAGCTGACATTTGAATAGAGGTAAGTTAGACTAAATATTTCATGTAAACAAAGCTTATTATACATTTAGAAAGTTTGATTGGTCTAAATGCCCACAAATACCCAGTTATTAACTAGTTGGTAACTACAGTGGAATATTAAAATCTAATATTCTTCGAAAGGGTACACTTTAGCTTAGCGACATGCACTAAGTATACTTTTTTACGGCAAATAAAGTGACGTTTTGTTATTTTACTATATTATCTGAAAGGATTCTTTAGAAAACAATTTAACTTTATAGTAAAGTAAGATTACTAGAACTGAGAATAAAATGCATATTTTTAAAAATAAAATGACGTGCCGAATGATAAAAAAAAGTCCGTTTTAGATAGGTATTCGTACGTGTTTTAGTCCAAAAAATAAGTCCATGTTCATCTTCGGCTACAACAAAAACACCATCAAGTTTCACCGAATTATCTTAAAAAGTGATTTTTAAAAAACTATATTGAAAAAAAGTCCTGTAACTTTTTAAAACAAAATTGTACCAAAGTAATTTCGGGTACACGTAAGACAGCAGCTTCTCTTCCCGGATACCCTGCGTTGCCTTTGTTGGTCGGTACCAAACCCGAAATCTAAATACCAGAAACAGCCGAACATCTGGTCACATACTGTTTACATCATCCTGCGAAAAACGGAGGAATTTCATTCGTTTTGGAAACTACTAGAAATCCGACTTCAGACTTACAAATATATGTTTAATAAAACGAGTGGTACGTTTCAGTGTCGACTTCAAGGAAATACAACAACGACCGACGACACGACACATTATAAAATAAATCCCAGTGCATGCTAAAGGGCAATTTAAATAATAGCTATTGCGCGGATCGTGTATTTTACCAGTGCTCTATCACGCTGATCTCATTCTGGTTTGCATTCACCACTCATTTATACTTTGTCGAGCCATTAAGTTTTTCATTAGATAAATTAAAATCAAATACCACCTTTGCCGTCCCGAAGAACAACCGTTTAACACGACAGCCACGACTGTGGTAATAATGTAATTCAACGGGAAGATTCACTTGTAGTACGGGTTATTCGAAAAATATATACCGAATTTTAACAGTTGTTACCAAGTTGCGTGGAGCTGGAGACTTAAATTTGAGCTTAGTGAGTTGGTGGCAATTAAAAATATTCAAAGTAGTTATATACAAAATCTGTACATACATTTTAAGTAGCGGCAATGCAGTGGCGGCTCGCCTTTTGTAGTCAGTAGTCCCAAAAACGCAGAGCCTATAAAAATTGTCCAAAATTAAATTTTTTAAAAATGTTTTCTTTAGGGATTTCCTAAAAAATCTCACGACTTTTTTTTTGAGAAAAATTACTCCAAATTTATAAAGTTGCGCTAGGTTAATTAGTTTTTTAATGCTTTTGGTGTAATTTTTTCCATGCCAATGAATTATTCGTAGCAAATCTTTGTTTTTTAATGGTTAAAAGTAATTAGAATAAGAAAAAAAAGGCTAATAACTGATAAATTTAGGTGAGGTTAAGTTTGTAAATGTTATTTTTTATTAATGTTCAGCTTAGACATCTAGAATTAATCTTTTCATGGAAGTAGAACATCAAATAATTTTATTTTTGTTTTTTACAAATTGCTGGTATTTTACTTGTTTGTAAGGTTAAAGAACTTTTTTATTTTTTTTTTAGGTTAGATTATGTTAGATTTGGAGTTCTTGAAATAAAATTTACTGATAAACTATTAATAATTTACTTTTATTTACCTATCAAGTATTACTGAATGTTAAATCAATACTTTATAACTTGATTTTAGGTTGTTAGGTTAGGTTGGGTTAGATTATGTGAATTTAAATTTGTTTCAAAACGCTAAGTCTAAATTTTACGTATACCTAAATCAATTTGTGATGACTTTTCATTTTGATTTTTTATTGTTTATAATATTTCATTGATGTTTAAGAAATAAAGCAATGTCTTACACAAGTTAAAATGTTAATCAATTTCTATAAATTTAGAGCAATTTTTCTCAAAAAAGCTCGAGGGATATCTTAGGAAATCCCTAAAGATAAAAAAATGTCCATTGTGGATAATTTTTATAGGCTCTAGGCATTTTTGGGATTACTAACTTATTAAAGACCCCAGTGTGCGTCGGTTTGAGGATACTAAACGTAGAATGATGATACGGATACTTCGCAATTAATAAAATATTCTTTTTTTTACAAGCAACAGTAGAATACGAGTATAACTCAAGATACAATCGAATAGATAAAAGGAGAAATATTACAAATAAGTAAGTATGTAAATACAAAGAATTAGTTTACGTTTATTACATATTCCGATTTACAAGTCTACAGTCATGCACAAATAAAACGAAAAGAAAATTCATATAATATATTAAAAAAAAATAAACTAAATTCCTGTACATAATTGAAAAATCTTGTCCAATAGAGACTAAAGTCAAAGCAGTTTCTACTATATTATAAATTATATTTTTATCAAAAAAATTTAAATTTCGCTAGTTTTTCTATTACTTTGTTTCCATTACAAAATAAAAGTAGAGAATTAATTTAATTGCAACACAATAAAAAATGATCAACGGCCTACTCTGAAGAGTTTAAATCTAAGTAGAATCCGATCGGGCTCGGAATGCTTACAAAGGGCAATGGAGGCTAGCCTCCGCCACTCACAATCAGTTATGAAAAGCGTAGCGAAGCCACAACGAATCCAACAGCGTCACTCTTACATACAATGAAGCCTCCCCTGTATTTTCGGTGCAACATTGATATATGTCAGATAAAAATCGTCCGTACTATTGATGTCATGAATTAAAAATGAATAATTACTGATTACGTACTAGGAATTGAAAACAAATTCATTCTTTAAAATGTTTTGAAGAGGTTTAACTTTCACTGATCCTCTTTTTGCGAAAAATTAGGTACCTATTATTAGTCATCACGGTCTACCCCATGGTTCTTACCGTAATAAGCAACTTACGTTCAGTTGGAATATGTTTTCAATCTCGTATCAAACGGCTTATAAAATTTTTGCCGCATGTGCACACTGTCACTGCACAGAAAATATGCATATGTTCACGCAAAATATATGTTTCAATTATATTGTTTCACGTTATTTTGTAATTGGGCTTGCCTGTTGGATATTTGATCAGTAAAAATGTATTTTGGAAACTATACTGAATACATTTTATTCTAGTCTTATTACGTTTAGAATTTCAAAACGTACAAATAAACCTTGGTGTAAACCTTACTTCAAATTATGTGTCTAAATTTCCAACATTTAAGGGATTTCCTGTATAAATTCTCTGCAATTTCTCAAGATTTCATTTCAATTCTCCGAATTTCGGAGCTAGTATTCCAGTTTTTCCCCGTAGTTCAGCCGTTGTTACAAATTCGTCGCTATAAAAACAAAAACATATGTTTCATATATGAGCTGACTCAAATAAAGGAAATATATGAGCGAGGTCATCCTTTAAGAGAGGTTAAATCTACTAATTAAGAAGAATGTAATAGATGTTCTCAAACCAGGGACATAAAACGCTGCATGTAAATTGTTGTTAATTAATAACTTTTTTCATAAGAACCAGTTTGGATCATTTTTTACACATTTTGGGTAACCTCCCACGTTGCTTGCCCCGTACTTTTGACTTGTCAGTATTGTTTGCTAATAATGAAACTATCAGATAAAGCAACAATCAATATATTATTCATATAAACTTTTATTCTTATTAGAGGGGTAGATATGTCTCTTCCAAATATTAAAACGAAATTTTTGTACAACCTTTTATATTTGTAACGCTGAGGATTTTGCTGTTTTACTGGTAATTTATCAAATATTTAAATTTTACGAGACATATAATTTTTATAAAGAAATTTTATTTTAGAAGCAATAAATTAGATAGCATAGGCATATCAAAAGTTATTGGATGATTATGGAAATGGGGACCCCAAATAATAACACACTGTATATTATTTTCTCACATATGCATGTATTATATAAGATTCAAGTGTATCAAGAACTTAAGAACACTCTAGCTCAAAACATTTTAAAGTTTTATGAGAAAAAAAAAGTTATTTAGCAGTATTCACAATGATAGGGCTATTTTATAGTAGTAGTAGTTGACACTTTTTTATAAGTTGGCCTAAATCGTCTTAATTTGACCATAGAGACCTTTGGTGTATCGTTGGTACATGCATTTCAGGGACATCCTGTATACATAATGGATAGTAAAGATTGTTATAATTTTATGAATAAAAAATGTAAGTCGTCAATTATGTATCTAAGTATGTAATATTAAATAATTAATTTTTTTGACTACCGTATAAAAAGAAATAAGTAATAAAAACTGATAAATTTATCAAATTTTTTGTTGCTTTAATGGGCGAAAATTTGCCAGGAGGGGGGGGTCGAGGGGATCACAAATCATGAAAACATTAAGAAATAATACAAGATAATTACATTTTCTGATTTACAATTTTTGCTTGCGCATTGGGTGTGGCAGTCAAAAAAAAAATATTTTAGGCGTTTCACATTTTCCTCATTATACAAATTATAAACAGTAGTTTGTTTATCGAATTTATATAATTTAATGCTCCCCAAATAAGAACAATTCAAATTTAACAAAATACATATAGGTATAGGAAAACAGAAATCTGAAACAAGCGCGGTATTTTTACAATTTGAGTGTTACTATAAAGTGGTAGGTAGTCATTTGGAATTATTTTCGTCAAAGAAGAAATTACCACATTCTAAAATCATTAATTTGTTTTTATTATTAAATAATTCAACTTTGGGTAACAAATCAGATTTGTATGGAAAACGCACTGGTGATTAATATATCATTAGCATTACATTATAAATACAAACAATTTACAAGAGATAAAAAATTTGGAAAAACTACATTATTGGCTTTTTAGTAAAACAAGATCTGAATTTGTAATTTCTGACCAAAAGCAATATAAGCGTATTTGTTTAGGAATAAGAATATTTTTTCCGTTTTTGTAAATATACACTGAAAGAAATGGTTTTATTAAACTGTTTCTCTAGAGAATGTGTATAGCGCATAAGTTTTATAACAAATATACAACATTAAAAAAAATACTCAAGTCCATATTCATAATGCAACTGGAAATCGCACACACCTTATGCATCTATGAAATAAAGGTTATAATGAATTACTTATATATTATTATGTGTTATATTCCATTTGTATAATAGGGAAGATTTGCTGTATAAAGACCAACATACGAATCTGTATATAACAGCTGTATTAACAGAACAATTCGTTTTTATAATAATTATGTTTGCGTTTTTAAAGTGTAAAACGCCTCTTATAATGGTTAAGTGATCGTCACGTCTCGGTGCATAATCGCAGCCCCGGATCTAGGGGGGGGGCCTATGCCCCGGGCGGCAAGTTCAAAGGGCGGCCAAATTCACACTTTACAGACGAATGGACAACTCATCATTTACTAAACAAAAAACTCGAAGAGTAAAATTGTAATTTCAATTCACAAATGCAATAATATATTTGATTTTTATTATACATATTTTTATTTTAAATCCTATCCTGTGCTGTGTATAAAATATATATCTTACACGTTCATGTCTATATATTTGTAAATAAATAGGCTTAACATAGAAAGAACCAGCGATGGATGCATTATTTCCGGAAGGCCTAGGTAGGCTATGTCCAAATGTCAATCAATTAGTGGACATCTGATAGCTGAAATTATATAGATGATAAAGGTAAAAATAAATATAAGTGGGCGGAGGCGGCATTTTTCAGTTTTTGCCCCGCCTAAAAAAAAATTGAAGATCCGGGGCTGCATAATCGGTTATGATCGTAAAATTTCCGATAGTTCGCTGTACCTCGACTATTACGCTTCTTCTAGTTGGATGAGCATAGACAATATAGACACATGTTTTGTGGGATACAAGAAGACACAGATGCATCGTTACTAAGAATCTGGATAGTTTTAGGAGCGATTTGTCATTATTTTTAATACTAAAACGTTTGTTATATGTTTACATTTGAATCTCAGCTTATAATTACATACAATGAAATTTTTGAAATCTTAATGTCATGAATTAACTCATACAACTGATGAATGCATTTATTATTATCAAAATTAGAACGAGTATAAAACACTTTAATACAGTTATAGCTATAATTTTGTAAAGATTATAAACGGTTACTAGTTTATACAATAATTTAATAAAAAATATGGTCACTATACAATGTTGTTAGCTATACGCGTTTTATA